AAAGTTGATCGGCTTGCGAGAAACAATATACGTGGTAAGTTTTGTAACTGTAGGTAAATTGAGCAAAGTTATAACACACTTTATGTGTCCTTTTTTAGTCATAAAATTCATTTCCTCGCCACGGCCAGACCGTTCGAGATATCAAAAATCCGTCCGGAATTGAGCATCCTCAATGTCTTGACTTCATGCACACCGAGTTTGGTTGTGATTGGTAAACACATGCGTTGTAATTTGATGTATTTCTCCTAGGACAATTATTCAAACAACCCATAATTCATAATTCATAAATAACTTCCATTTGAACTGTCATAAAACTTAGAGCACGAAAGTTGTTTGGCCTGATGTGATCTATAATTGTACCGAGTTTCATATTAATTCATGCAAGTGTGTTTGATTTATGGACAAATGTTCGAATCCCAGTCCAGGGGGCGCTGTCGAGCCGCCCTGCCACGCCCGGTTACCAGCTTCAGCCCGGCCCTGATGGCCATGGGTTCTGACCCGTGTGCAAAGTTTCAAGAGTTTTCGAGGATGTTAAGGCCCCCGAAAATGCCAGAGAAGTCGCACACAGCAAATAAAGGGTTAAAATTAACCTGACAGGCGCCCCTCCTCTCACTCACACAGAGGGACACTGAGAGACTGGCAAAATTCTGAGATTTTCTCTACATTCAAACAAACATATCTGACTTTCTGTGGGTCCTAGCTAATGAGTGTCAATTAGAAAGTTGTCCGGCTCGAGGAGTACAATATACATACCGATTTTTGTAACTGTAGATAAAACTAACAACCCCACTTTTGTCAAAAGGTGGCGCTACTGAGCCCTCACCACACCCGTTTCTGAAACGTTGCACATGTCTACTGGCTAATAAATGTGATGTGTCTGTCGAGTTTCATGCAATTTGAAGCATGCTAAGAGTCTCAAAAGCATCCTAAAAGAATGGTAAAGTTTGATGCGTTGCCACGGCAACAGTTTCAAAGATATCAAGAATCCATTCACAGGTCTTCATCTGCCATGTATTTACATTATACAGATGAAGTTTGAAGCAAATCGAGTAAAAATAAAAGGGTGATTTCAAAGCATTTTGAAAATGACACACTTCCTGCTGCCAGTTGGTGGCGCTATAACTTTGACTCACAATAGTCACATCCATGTGATCGTCCTCTTACAGCGAACACACTGCTGAAGTTTCATCAAGATCGGTTAATGTATGCTGAAGTTATGAACACACTTCCTGTTTCACGTTTCTCGCCATAATTTCGTTTCCTCGCCACGGCCAAACCGTTCGAGATATCAAAAATCCCCTCGCAAACTTTCATCCTCAATGTCTTGACTTCACGCTGACCGAGTTTCGTCGAATTTGGATCAAAGCTCTAGGAGGAGTATTAAAATTCCATTGCGAGTGTTTTACGAACAACCCTAAATAGCCGACTTCCTGTTGGGCTGGGGTAAAAAGTAAAAGCGCGAGGTATAGATGAAACGATGAGATCAACATGTGTACCGAGTTTCATATTATTACATGCAAGCGTGTTTGATTTATGGACCAAGTGTTCGGACCCCGTTCCAGGGGGCGCTGTCGAGCCCCCCTGCCACGCCCGGGTACCATCTTCAGCCCGGCCCTGATGGCCGCGGGTTCTGACCCGTGTGCAAAGTTTCAAGAGTTTTCGAGCATGTTAAGGGCCCAAAAGTGCCCGAATAGTCGTTAGAAAATAAAAAAAAAAAAAAAAAAAAAAAATATATAGCTGCGAGCAGCGATGGCGGGCCCAAGCCGGTGGCACCGCAACCCCGGTTCCTTTAGTTACCTAAATGCACCCGGGTGGCGGTGCCGAAGGCTTTGGCCCTTTTATGATTAAATGTTAAAACGGCTTGCCATACTCTGTCATTTCGACTAGTCACAATTATGTTACAGATATCTTAAATGATAATACAAACTATCCAAAATGTAATTACGAATAGACAGAAAGACGTTGTTGATATCTACAATGTTAATTCCGGACAGGCAAACTTAGCTTTTAAATGTTAAAAGGGCTTGCCATACAGGGACGTAGGCTCAGAGAGAGGCTCACCATATTCAAACCAAAATATCTGACTTCCTCTTGGTCCGAGCTAATGACTATGTATTAGAAAGTTGTCCGGCTTGAGGAGTACAATGTATATAGCGATTTTTGTAACTGTAGATAAAACTAACAACCCCACTTTTGTCAAAAGGTGGCGCTATTTAGTCCTTGCACTATGCCCGTTTCTGAAACTTTGCACATGTCTACTGGCTAATAAATGTGATGTATCTG